GGGCGCCCAGCGTGCGCAGCAGTAGCAGCAGCGGGAGCAGCGGCGCGGGCATGCTGCGCTCGGGGCGCTGCCTGCAGGCGGGACGGAGAGAAAGAGGGAGGGAGGCTGGGAGGGGGGAGCAGTTCCTCCGGCCCCGGCAGGGAGTGCTTTAGCATGAGGTCATGCGGCGGGGCCGTGTGGGGAGAGGCGGCTTCCAAGCGCGCCCGGCTCCACCTGCAGCGCCGAGCACCCGCGGGATGCGCCTGGGTTCCCGCCGCCCCAAAGTTCTGCGGGCGCCATGGCAACGAGGGGGGGCTTCTACACAGCCCCCCTCCCCCCTCCGCCTCATGCCCCAGTACAGCGCATGGGGAGGGGGGCGCTGCCCCCCGCAGCAGGGGCAGAGCTGCGCTGCTATGTAACCGCAGCTCCTGAAGGCCCACCTGAATGAGGGGGTGGGGAGCTGCCCCAGGCTGTGGGGTGAGGGGCTAAGGGGAAGCTTGCTTTGGTGTGAGGAGGAGCTGGGGTGGGATGGAGCGGGGCTGAGGCAGCACCCATGGGATAAGGAAGGGAGCAGGGGTCAGGAGAGTTCCCCGGGGGGTTGCTGGGCAGAAGCAGGGCGAGCTCTGCAAGAGGAGTGGGGCAGAGGGGAGCTATCCTGGTGTGCATGTGGGACTTGGCCTTACCACAAGCTCAGCAACAGGCTTCCTTGCTCGGGCAGCTGTCCGTCTCCAAGCCGGCCAGAGAAGGATCTAGGAAAGGCAGGGAAACAGATGGCCCCTTTTTGATAAGGGCTGAGAAGCAGCACGTGCCCCATGCCCCCGCGGTAGCTTTGAGGCCTGCTCTCCCAGGAAACACTGCCCTCCCTTAAGCAGCCCCATGTGGCACCCCAGGAACAGCATCTGGCCAAGGGTTGAATTTCACATGTATCAGCAATTCTCTGCTTCCCTCTCCGCAGCCTGGCGCTCACCTTCTATCCCCAGCTAACCCTTCTCCTCTTGTCCCTCACACTCCACCTGTTGTGTCCCTACTTGGATCTTAGCTCCATGGTTAGCCCTGCGTGGGGTTAATATCACAGAGGGACACAACATCCTCTCCCCAGACAGCCCTTGCCTGCAGCATCTCCATGTCCTTGGGATCAAGAAGACCAAAGGCCACTGGAAGAGAGTGCCCTTCGCCTCAGACCAGCTTGGTCCCGGGCTGTGACCCTGACCTCTGGGTTCCACAGGGAGCGCAGATGGAAAGCAGCCTTCAGTGAGGACTCAGGTTACCCTAGCAGCTCCTATGGTCTTGGGATGCTTCCTCCTCCAGGGCTGCTCAGAAGATGTCCCTGGATCTGTCCTCGAAATGAGTGGTCGCCGCTCAGCTCCCCCTGACTGACGGATCAGCTTCCAGCACAAATAGGAGTGATGTCCCCGGCAACGAGAAACAGCAAAACTCCCTTCCCCGCCAGCTGACCCTTTAAACCCCCACCCTCCACCCCCTGCGGGAGACACATGCTTGGTGTAAGCGATAGGACTCGACCCCCCGACCCCATCTGTCCAGACAGCAGCCCTGACTCCCGGCACATGCAAGGAGGGTAGGGACAAGGGAGGGGGAGCGCAGTAACATCTGCACCACACAATGACATGGCCTGGCAGCAGCCGTGGCACAGGCTCCAGTTTCAGTACAAGGCCCTATTGAAACCCCACTGAGCAGGCGGCCAGGTTAAAAATATAGCCATACCCACCCCCTTGACAGCAACTGCTATGCTGCCCTTGTCTGCCTGCTGCTTCCCTTGGGAACAGTAATGCAGCCCAATTACATGGACACTTGTGTATCAGCCTAGAAGAAACCAGGCAGAAAGGGGAGTGCAGCCACCAGCACTTCAGGCATCCCCTGGCCAAGGTCAGAGGGGCTCAGCAGCAACAGAGACAGCAGGAACAATGGACCACAGTCCATCACAGGAGTTGTTATCCAGTTTCACTATGCCTCCAGAGGCTGCCTTGCGTGATGGCGATAGCTATCATGTCAAAGCCAAGCTGGGGCCTTTAAGCTCTACTGTAAGCAGAGGGTGCAATTGTTAGGCTTCTGGGGATCCTAGCCTCTATTTTAAACCGGCTGGCCCTCAGTGAGTTACTCATCTTGTCTGTGCCTTCCCTCCAGGAGAGTTTACCCATTAGTTGTTATGGGTTCTACCGACTGAATGAGCCACTTGTTTGTAGAGCGATATGAACATGAAGAGGGCACCACTCAGCTACATAGTCCCTCAGTTAGCTGCTGTTGTCCCTGTAGGGGACATTTGCCTTTAGCTGAGTCTGGGGGTAGATGTCCTCTTCATCCTCACAGCTTCCCCTAAACTGGTCTCATGTAGCTCAGATTTCACAGGTTGCTTCCCTTGCCCACAGTGTCACTCTCCCATTGGTCTCTAGTGAATGTCATGGGTCTGCCAACCTCTCCTGGACTGCACAACTCCTGAAAAGTCTGGCAAATGTGCTTGGAGCCCATGAATGCACTGGGCTTGTTTTAAGAGTCTTGAGGGGGTGGGAATAGGCAGCAGAACGATGGCAGGCTGTCAGCTTCACTCTCGCCACTCCACAAAGCAGAGCGCAGGGCATCGAGAACAAAAATTGCTGATTCTCCATCTCCAGTCCAGTCCCAATGCATCCTGTCCACTGCCTGGATGATCCGAAGCCTGCATAAGTGAGCTCAGCCGGAATGACCTTTCCCAGCCCTGCAGCTTTCTCACGGGGCACTGGGGATGAATGAGGATGAGGGGGCTGGCCCAGTCCCAGCACAAGAGACATCATGCTCCTAAATCAGGAACAGCCATTCAGCAGCTCTGCTGCAGACCAAGAGTTGCAAGAGTCAGCAATGACATAAGCCTCCTGGGATATGCTTCCTACAGACTCCTGGCCCCGCCAAGCTTCCTGTGTCCTATGGCTGGAGAGCAATTTGGCTCTCCTGTGCATGTGCACTGAGCATGCCTGCCTGCACGATGCAGCATATGCTTCAAACCTAACCTTGCCCTCAGTTGCACCCCCATGAACTTCAGTAGAGCTGCACAAGCAGAGCGAGACCCCCACTTGGCCCTCAGTATGCAGCAGCCAAAACTGTCTGCTGCAGCTGCATTAGGGTTTCAGGCTCTACCAGCAGGCAAATTTTCCCTGTGTACAGCAGAGACAGCGATTAGAACACATGGGGAAAGAGGCAGTGCTCCCAACTTATAGATAGCTCCAAGTGTTGAGCACAGATGAGTCACTTCCTCTGTACCTCAATTTCCCCATTACCATTAGCACAGCACTGGATATAACGTTCCCATAACAGGTTTGGCAGTTGGTGTCAGACCAAGGTGGGGTGGCATAGAGAGGAACCAGTTGATACTGCAAGGCACTCGTGATGGGACACAGACCTTGTTTAGCATGCCAGGGATGCCTACACGCCCCTGCTTGCCAATGCACACTGAGCTCCCTGCCCGAACAAGTGTGACCCTGCCTTCCTGCCACTTGGCCACGCTGATGGTTCCCACGTCATCCTGAGAGAATGAGCAGCAGCAGCCAAAAAAGCTGGCACTCCAGCACATTCCTAGGTGTGTTGTGTATGCAGGTTACCAAACCTGTAGAGATATGCAGAGTGGGAGAGAGGCCCCTTGGAACAAAGTACCTCCAGTAACTGCAGCCTGTGGAAATCAGTTGGCATGGAGGCAATAAGTGGGAGTGAACAAGAGCAGGTGAGCTCAGAAATGCCATGATGGCAACCCACTTCAGTCTGAGCAAGGTGCTTGCATGAAGAGGGGCTGGAGATAAAGCAGAGCAGGGTTTGTTTGCTAGACCGCTGGGGTCAGGAGTAGCAATACTGGCTGGAAAACAAGTTGCCCGTAAATT